ATTACATGCTACAAAAGAAAACGATTTAATTTAAGTAAGAGTATTTTGCTAGCCATTGCAGAGGCATTAAAATCTTATAAAAGCATAAGTATTTTACTCCCTCCTAGAAGGACAGAGCTCGAGTATAGAGCTCATGTTATGCACATGCATATGAATAACATAATAAACAAAGTAAATAAATAAACAAAAATATTTTTTAAAAAAAATCAATTTTATTAGGCTTTTGGATAATAAAAATTTATTTACTAGCTTGACTCTTAACATATCCCTAGTGGAGTCACCAAACTATCATAACATCTAGATCTATAAACTTATCGCTAGACATTGACTTAAAGAGTTACCATCAATCTTTTTTTTTTATGTGCGATTGATCATCTAACTAAATCTGTCCATTTTTAAAGAGTAATCCTAAGATGGATTTAATGTCTACGAAACCAAAACTAGGTTCAAGAGTACAATTATGTGTAAAGAAAGTTATAGCACATTCATCACACCCATTAATTGATGGTATCAGCTTGATTTCGTATTATCCATTGAGTTTTAAAAATCTTATCAAATAATTAATTATTAAAAATTATTCTTAATTGACTCTAATACTTTTGACAGAAAATTAAAAAAATTCTCTCACCTCAAAAGTATACAAGAAAACTATTGTTTATCTTGTAAAGACTTCGTCATCGGATTATTTAGCATTTTAAAAAATTCAAAAAAAAAATTTAATACTTCAACTTTTTTTAAAGATTTCTTTTCTTATTTTATTTCTTTTTAAAAAGGATTAATGCCTTTATTTAAGAAAATTTGATATTTTTAATTTTTCCTCAAAAAATAGTTTTTAAAATTTTTATTTTAAAAAAAATTGATACTCTTAACTTTTTCTGAAAAATATATCTTTTGAAAATTTTACCTTAAAAAATTGATATTTTTAATTTTTCCTTAAAAAAGTTTCTTGAGAAATACATTTTTTTAAAAAAAAAATTAGTTTTAAGAAAAATTGATACTTTTAACTTATCCTCAAAAAAATATCTTTTGAAAATTTTATCCTTAAGAAACATTAATACTTTTAACTTTTCCTAAAAAAAATATTATTTGAAATTTTTATTTTCAAGAAAAATTGATACTTTTAACTTTTCCTTAAAAAATTTTCTTGAAAAATACATTTTTTTAAAAAAAAATTATTTTCTAAGGAAAAATGATACTATCAAATTTTCCTTAAAACTTTTTTTTTATTATTGAAGTTATTTAAGAAAAATTGATACTTCAACTTTTTCTCAAATTTTTTTTCTCAAATTTTTATTTTTAAGAAAAATTGATTCTTTAACTGTTTTTTGAAAAATTGAAATTATTTTTATTTTTATTATCATTTTTTTAAACAAAAATTTATCAAAAAATAAGTAAATAAAAAAAATAACACAAAAAATACCAAACAAGTCTCGGCTCGATTTGGCTTAAAAAAGTTTGGTTATAAGAGTGAATGAGGCTTAGTGGCTCTTTTTAACTGATGGATTTTTTTAGATTTTTGTGCATCATCAACACTGTCGGTGCCACAAGTTACCACCACCATTCTTTTTGTTTTTTACTTTTTCCTTTCTTCAACCATAAATTTTCAATCAAGAATTCTGCACCTGAAACCCTATTTTTTTATCGCCATCGTTTTGTGGATTGAGTCATAATAGGATCCTACACTTGAAACTTTACTCTTTGATTGTTGTCGCTCTACCGACACGAGTCACAACCACCATTGATTTCTTTGCTGATGTAAGTCAGCATAAAATCTTGCACCTGAAACCCTGTTCTTTGGTCGCCATCACTTTGTCGATATGAGTCATAACATAATCCTACACTTGAAACCCTACTCTTTGGTCATCGTCGCTTTGCCGACATGAGTCCAAACCACCATTACCTTCATTGCTGCTTGTTATGACTAATCTTAGGTTGATTGTGATTTTCTGTATTTTGATTATCTATTAAGTTTCGGGTATTTTGAGTTTTGGGTTTGACTGATTGGTTTTTGGTAATGGGTGATTGGGAAATTTTTTGCAAGATCGTGGCTTTGGATTGTGTTGCTTAAGGTCAATTGTGAATGTCTTCTTCTAGCCTTGAATGACGGTTTATATAACATGATGAAGATAGGGTTTCAAATCAAAAAATAGAGCATCTATCACCTTCAATTTAAATTTTCATTTCAAGAAACAATTAAATTTCAAAAATTTAATCCACCAAATCTTATCACTTTTTTATCTTTGTTTTTTTATTTTTATTTATTTATTTTCAGAATAATGATAAAAATAAATAAGTAAAAAACAATACAAATTGATGAGGTTTAATGTCCAAATAACTCGGGACGAAATAAAGTGTCTATAATTCCATTATTACTAAGAAACATTTCAATACAACCAACAACATCTAGCAAAAGATGAAAGCAATTGATGCTTAAAGTTAAAACACATTCAGAATGATTGCTTCAGAACAGACAATGGTATAATCCTTGTTATGCTGACCAATCAAGAGAGATTGTGAACTTGTGAATTTTGATGGAAAAAAAAATATATATATATATATATATGATTATGATATTCTTTTTTCTAAAAGGAAATGTGTTTTCCATTGTTGGATTTGTTATGATCATAACAAAGACTATTCATCACATTATCACTTGCAAACTTAGAAAAAAAAAAAAGAAGAATCAAAATGCTTTGAAAACTTAAAAATACAAATCTGCTTACATGATCATATTTTGTAATACCATAGTCTTTTTGAGCTAATAAAACAGAGATCTTCTCATGACAATCTGGTGGTTTAATAGTAAGAGCAAATATGAATGGTTGGCCCTTTTCTCAATCACATGATGACACATTACATTCAACACCACAATCTTGCAAAGGTACTATAGTTTCATAATTATCTTGGGCTCTTGGCGATGAGTGATGCAGTAATATGGACGAAAATCAATCTGTTCATCTACCCCCAAAACTGCTCTATATTATATTCATGAGATTGAGCTAGCTCTTTGGGACATTCAGGTATCGTACTTGTTTCTTGTCTTTCCCATATATTGTTAACTTATCGTTTGGCACCCACCTTACAGCCTACACTACAATCCATGGTGCTTCTATTTCCTTTCCAGCTCCTGTAACTTTGCTAACGGACATGGAAACAATAATATTAGCTGAAAAATTAAAAAGAGTATCCGATGTAAAGAAACCATTTTCTTTGCAGATAATGCATGGAGTATGTATTGAAGATCCTTCATTCAAAGGCTTCTACCAATTAAGGGTATATCTTGTTTGATTCAGACTATTATTAATTTGAGCTCTCGACAGCATAAATCGAAAACTGGACTGCGTTAGAAGAAAAATGAAGTTTATCACTGTCATTGGCAAATTAATTACCAAAAATGAAAATATGGAATCAAATCAGATCAAGTATAACAATTTAATTAGAGTTTTTGTTTTCTTTCTACGACCCTAAATCATACTGTAAGTAATTCCTAGTAAAGTGAATAAAGTCAGCAGACTATAGCAGCTTTGCCATTTGCCCTTGCATTCAAAGAAATTGTGATTAAAAACTATGATCATTTAAAAGTTAAAACTAGGTTAAGGTTATACCAAGAAAGTCAACAATTGAGATTGATTCCTTTTTGCGTGGTTGAATTGAATTTGAGTTTTGCTAATAGTCCTCGTTGTGAAAACTTCTCTATCATATGATTAATAAGTCATCGCCCAGTACATTACAGTTTCATCTTTTTCCTTTTTCTCCAAATGGAAAACCCAAGCCCTACTTTCCACGGTTTGGGGACTATCCCCTAAGCTAGCTTGCACTTGGTCTTGGTTACATTAATTATTGTATGATTGAATTGGTTTACAAAGAAAAGCTTTTACATTTTTATCACAACTTTAACACACACACACGGATGCATGGCTAACTTTATCTTCATTTTCAGCTATGCATTGCAAAAAACTTGTTTTCTTTATGCTATATATTGCGATGTTTATTTATGTTTCTTCTCATTGGTGTTTTGCTTAATACATGGTTCTACTTCTATATAAATTAATTTTTTAATAATTGGTATTGTGTTTTAATTCAATTATGATTTTTTACTTTCAATTACTTTTATATTATATTTTATGATAAGTCTTCAGAAAAAAAAGGTTGTCTACATTTTGTAGATCTAAGCATATATTTGAGATTTGACTTACACAAATTAAGCCTCTTTCCTTAGTTAATGGCTATCATAGATAACAAGTCAATAGTCAAAACAAAAAAAAAAAAGAAAAATGGAAAGGACCAATTACGTCCGAAGTTCTAACAGCAAGTTCCGCGGTCAAAGAATGAAAAAAAGGGAAATAGGCAAACGCCCAAAAAAAAAATCATTTTCATTTTATCATAATCAAGAGCTGAAGTCACTCCACCACTTACGAGGCAAGAGAACACGCTCCGAAATTCCCATCACCTCAGCTCTCCAAACAACCTCAACAAACCCATTCCCCAAACCTCTCCTATCTATTCAGAGCTAAACCCAGTTTTAGTGAGAGTTTAAAATTTACCGGTCTTTCAATGCAGGATAATTGAGTTGATCGTATTATCAATTAAATTGATCGAATCATTAATTAAATTTAAGTATTAATTTATTTAATATAAATTTTTTTATAAAACTTTTTAATTGGATCTTTATTTACTCTTAAACCCTACCTTCACCCTTTTTACCTTCCCTTTGTCCCTTTCAAACTAAAAAAAAAATGAAAAAACAACTTTGTAAAAACAAATTTATACACATTCATTTAGCCTAAATTAAGAAATTCTTCAATTACTACTATCACTTACTTTCTTATTTATCATTGATTTATTAAAATTAAAATTCAATTTTGGTAGATCCTTTTATTTTTTATTTTTCCTTTTTATTTATTAAATACTGAATATATCTAAAACTTAATTGGTGAGATGTTAAACTTTTACGCTTCTGATCAGATCTGAAAACAGACGAAAATGAGAAATATGAATGCAAGCTTTCCATCTATGATCTATCCATCAACTGTTACTGTTTAGAAGTAGTAAAATTTTTTTCAATCATGTCAGCACTGAGACATTAACCTCACCAAGGACGCGCCAAGGACTCGACGCGCCCGTCACATCACCACAGCATACCGTGATTAGCGCGTGTGAATCGAAAATCTGGATTTAGTAATACAAAAATCGCACATGGCCTGCTCCATAACTCAACTCCCCAAAATTGTTTAACCAAAAACAAAGAGTTCCTTGTACAAAAAAGATTTGTTACACTCGTACTAAATTTAGCTTTCCTCCGTTCTGTTCCTCTTCCGCCAAACACAAACACAAGCAAAAAACAGGAAGAAAAAAAAACCAGAAAAGATCTGCTTGTTTCTTAGACATTTAATTTATTTACATTTAATTTCTTTTTTTTTTAATTTCATTTGGTGATTTATGTCTCGAGAGCCGAATTATGAGTTTCAGGAATGGTGGAACAAGCAAAGGGAGAAGAACCACGAGTTTTTCACCAATGATACTAACAATCCTAATAACGGATTCCTAACTGTCGAGATCAACAGTTCCAATCCTGATCGGACGGCCGACAAAGATCGCGCCAGAAGCGCACGCCAGCTGTCCTGGGTTTGCCTCTTGAGATTCCAGCAACTCGCTAACTCCCTCGCGTCGATCACAAACGCCTCCATTCTCCTCCTCCGTACCGCCAACCGCCGAATCTCCTCTGCCGATTCCCCATCCGATTCCTCCACTTCCAGGCTCTATCGTATCATAAAGTTCTTTCTGTTTCTGGTGGTTCTTTTACTTTGCGTGGAGTTACTTGCGTATTTCAAGGGATGGCATTTTAGTCCGCCGTCGGAGGCCTCTGCGGAGGCAGCGGTCGAGCTTGTTTACGCCAAGTGGCTCGAAATCAGAGCCGATTACTTGGCGCCGCCGCTGCAGAGCTTGGCGAATGTGTGTATTGTACTCTTCTTGATTCAGTCGGTGGATCGTGTGGTGTTGATGTTGGGATGTTTCTGGATCAAGTTTAAGAGAGTAAAACCGACGGCTGCAATGGAGTATCCGGTGGGAAGAGTAGAAGGAGAGAATGTAGAGGATTATCCAATGGTGTTAGTGCAAATTCCTATGTGCAATGAGAGGGAGGTAAGCGGATGTAGGTTTCACAATCCCCAGCAAAAAAATTAAAATGTCATTTTTTCAGTTAATTGTCTAGTAGATTTATGGCTCAAATTTACTAAATTTGTTAGATTCGGTTATGGCTGCACTATTTAGATAAGAGAAGATTGAAGACTGAATCTTAAATCTTTGACATTGTTCAGTTGTTTAGATGTTGGTTCGTACTAGTTTTAGATTAGGGTTCAAACCAAAAAAAGGGGGGGGGGGGCAAAAAGCCTTAAGATTTGGCTAGTTACTCCAAATCGTAATTATAGCTACATATATGTCTTCCTTGTTAGTGTTTATCAATAGATAGTGCAGCGTGCATAGGTAGCATAGCAAGTGTTGGCTTAGTGCTTAGAGCAATGTGTATTTGCTAACTATTCCCTTGTTTAGTTGCAAATCAACTGAGATACTGAAATTCGAATTACTTGTCTCTTTCCTTTCCTTCCATTACTCGGAAATTGATCAAAGTAATTTAACTTAAAAAATAGTTCTTTTATTGTAGGTTTATTGTACATAATTCCTGAAACTTTCACTTTATGTTGCCCAGGTTTACCAACAATCTATTGCAGCAGTTTGTATTATGGATTGGCCAAAGGAGAGAATGCTGGTACAAGTTTTGGATGATTCTGATGACTTAGATGTTCAGCTCCTTATCAAGGCAGAAGTACAGAAATGGCAACAAAGGGGTGTACATATATTATATAGACATCGTCTTATTCGTACTGGCTACAAGGCAGGAAACCTGAAATCTGCGATGAGCTGCAATTATGTTAAAAACTATGAGTTTGTTGCAATTTTTGATGCTGATTTTCAGCCAGCACCAGATTTCTTGAAGAAAACCATTCCTTATTTCAAGGTAACATTTTAGTTCATATCTTTTAAGAACTCTATAGGTTTAAGAAAGTGTGACAGTTAAAGTCTAGGTGGAGAAATAGAGTAGTATAATTGGAATTTTTCATTTTAATTATGTAGATATACCTTTATACGTGTGTGAATGAGCATATTTGTGTTTTTGTGTCTATACCCTTTAGCCACCTCCTTTGTACATAATTTTGGTGTGCTGTCCAAGATGATCCTTTTCTTAATTGTTATCATTGTCATTGGTTCGAGATAAGGGCAACTCAAACAAGATTAGGATTAATGCTTAGTTGAGCCAAGTAGTTGCCATGTGTTCAAGATAAGAGACACCATACTGTTGACAGTTAACAATGTGGCAATTTGGTGGTTTAGATTTGTAAGTAATGCCACTCAGTGGCCCATGTGGTCTTTGATTACAATATGGTTATGTAGATAAACGGTGTTGGCACATAACTGCAATTTCATTACAAGCAAAATTAGTTTTTGACGTTAATATTTATTCCAGTGACATTTGACTTATAAGATGATTTTTCGTAGATCTTAAATAAATATCAATCCCATGGTCGTCCATGTATATGTTTTCGTTTCTTTCTTTGCATTAAACCACTAAAGAACCTGACTTAGATAAATATGTAGATGCCACTACAGATCAAACAGGGTTTTATTCTTGCATTTTCACTCTTTCCTGGGTTCCAATTTAACTTTCATATTGAGCTACACTTCTTGGGACAAATATACATGGATGAAATAATTATTTAATTCTGTAACATTTGCATTTTAGTAACATACTTTGCTTTATAAATGCTTGACATTTCTCAGTTGCTATGCTATGCTTTTTGTGGTAATAGTAATATACCAATTATCACTTGGTTCAGCAAGAGCAAAACCATCATTCAGACACAAGGAAGTTTAATGCTTGCTTCCAAAATCAGCTAATTGAATGATTAAACTCTAGAGCTAGTTAGGGACCTCCTATTTTCTAATTTGCATGTGTACTTGTTGATTTTCTTTGTAAAAGATATTTATTTGCTTTCTGTTTTTCCATTTTGATGAATTGTTAATTTACCAATCATTTCTATCTGATCAGCATTTGTTTTCCATCTTTTTTCTAGGGGAACGATGATCTAGCATTGGTCCAAACAAGGTGGGCATTTGTAAATAAGGATGAGAACTTGCTTACAAGATTGCAGAACATAAATTTATCATTCCACTTTGAGGTTGAACAGCAGGTCAATGGTGTGTTTATCAACTTCTTTGGTTTTAATGGAACTGCTGGTGTGTGGAGAATTAAGGCCCTTGAGGACTGTGGAGGATGGTTGGAACGAACAACTGTTGAGGACATGGATATTGCTGTTCGTGCTCACCTCTGTGGATGGAAGTTTGTATATCTGAATGACGTTAAGGTGTGTGACATGTTATTATATACAAATTTCCTTCCCCACTTTAGAGAGAAAGGAAAGGTGAGCTAACCTATATCTGTCTGCAGTGCCTTTGTGAACTTCCTGAGTCCTATGAGGCATACAAGAAACAGCAGCACCGCTGGCATTCAGGTCCCATGCAATTGTTCCGCTTGTGCTTCCTTGACATACTTCGCTCTAAGGTACAGAAGTTTCTTAAAACTATTATATTACACGTTTGTGGTTTTCATAAAAAAATTGAACCATGCATGCATAAAGAAATTATATCTCCTTTAAGACATCATCTTACAACAGTTATTTCCTAAAACTTTTATTAATTTCTGCATTTCTGTGGACAACCCAACCAATGTGATCTATCAAAAAAGAAAATGTGGGAGCGAAATCCTGTATATTTTAACAACTTTTATCTGACGCTTTTTGTGTCTGTTGTTTTCGTATAGATGTGTGTGCATGTGTGTGTGTGTGTATAACATCCTGAATTTCCACTTCCAATATCAGCATTCAAACTTTCTTTACTCTTTTGAAATGTATAATTTTATCTGATATCTCACTTTCACACTGGAAGATTTTCAATGCTATATTCTTGATCCTTATGTGGGGGGCGACTGCCATCCTTTATGATTCTAAATTTCCTTTAATTTGATCACTTCCTGGAAGATTTTCAATGCTATATTCTTGATCCTTATGTGGGGGGCGACTGCCATCCTTTATGATTCTAAATTTCCTTTTTATATCAAAGTTTTTGTAAATAGATTTAAGCTTTACTATATCTTTTCATTGGTTTAATCTATATCTCAAAACCTGCACAAATGTTCCATTTCTATTTAATAATAAAAAAATTGTTTAGTTTACTTTTTCTTTATATTTTTCTCCAAATGAAATGTATCCCTTTGTTTGTACTTTTATATTCCTAATGCCACCATTCACATATGCTTCTCCTATTGATATCTAGTTTTAGCGTCTGAAAAAAAAATTCAAATACATAATGTGGACAGGAAGTGGGACTGAGTGGTAGAATTGTTAAAACACATCTTTCTTTCTTATTTCAGACTTTAGCTCCAAGGAACAATATACTGCTGTGAAATGGAAGAATTAAAATCTTAGATCAAGACACTATGTACTGATGGTATGAAACTACCTAAGTAAGAAATCTTGAACAGAAAACAAATTAATTTTCAAAATATCATTTGCGAGGTAAAGCTTAATTAGGGTTTCATCTGTCTCCTTGGCTCTTCATCCCAGATGAGTAACACTGGGACAGCGTGTAGGGAATGGCCCTGCTTTCATTTGTTACTATGCTAGCCCTTACCATATTATCTATATTTATGTTATTCTTTCTTAATTGTAATGGATTTAATGGAGAAAATTAGTGATTTTGTAGTCATCAAATTTCTATCCTTTTCACAAACAGGTCTTGAATGACAAACTTTAGTGGGAATGGAGGAGGGTCACTTCAATTTAACTTAGAAATCCTGCCTCCTTTCAAAAGTAAAATGGAATTTTCAAAAATGAATGGAAGGGTATGAAGGTTGACAGAAACCACGTGGGCTGGTGGTGTCTGTCATTACATCAACTAATAGTCCAAGCTTTAAACCTGTGGGGTTGCTCAAGATGTAGGTTGTTGAACTGCTCTTGGAAAAGGGAAAACAAGACCCAAAGTCTAAGCTGTAGCCCTGGCCAACTCTTTTTTAAACAAATAGAAACAAGATTAGTAATCACTACAGACTAATAGACTAGGCAGCAGTATCTTGTTATTTGTTTGCCAGCCGGTTATTGCAGCCTAGTCCTGTTATTTGTGATATAGACATCTGAATGCTGAACATGTATACCTGACTAATCTGTTAAATAAAGAATTTTTTTATTGGGAAATGGAGATTCACCAAGCTCTTTGAACTTGGGAATACAAGAACTTATCGTTGAGCCAAATGCCTGCATGAATTAAAACTTTTAATCAAATTTGTTGTGTTTTGTTTGGTATTTATGGTAAAAACTTTCTGGCATCATTTAGTTTTGCAGTTTTGTAACATTTTTTCATGAATATAAAGGTGTAAAGTTAAATTTCTGCCTTATAATTATATCTCATTTTCTTTTCACATTCCAGGTAAGTATGGCCAAGAAAGCCAATATGATATTTCTGTTCTTTCTCCTACGGAAGCTTATTCTGCCCTTTTACTCGTTCACCCTGTTCTGCATCATTCTCCCATTGACAATGTTCCTGCCAGAAGCTCAGCTACCAGCTTGGGTTGTTTGCTATGTCCCTGGAATTATGTCTGTGTTGAATATTCTTCCAGCACCGCGATCATTCCCTTTCATAGTCCCTTACCTTCTATTTGAAAACACCATGTCAGTGACAAAGTTCAATGCCATGATATCAGGACTGTTTCGGTTTGGAAGTTCTTATGAGTGGATAGTTACAAAAAAGTTGGGGAGATCATCAGAGGCTGATCTTGTTGCCTATGAGAAGGAATCAGATACTTTATCTGAAGCTTCTAGTCTCCTCAGGTCCTCCTCAGATTCTGGCCTTGAAGAGCTTAGCAAACTACAAGTAACCAAGAAAACTGGCAAAACCAAAAGAAATCGTCTATACAGGAAAGAACTTGCTCTTGCTTTTATCTTGTTAACTGCCTCCGTGAGAAGCTTGTTGTCAGCCCAAGGAATTCACTTCTACTTCTTATTATTTCAAGGGGTCAGTTTCCTTGTGGTTGGTCTTGATTTGATTGGAGAACAGGTGAGTTGACCGTTCGACACTATAGGTGCTGTCTACAGTTCATTGCTTCCAGGGAGTTTTCTTGAAATGCAGGTAACATTGACCCCAGCATTTAATCAATTGCTATATGTGCTTAATAGCCTCAATGGATCGGTAACAGCAATTTTGCGGTCGCTGATTCTGGACCGAAGCAGTTCATTTCATTCGTTTGTGCATGACAGTGTTTATGGCCTATTAATATACTTAGCGGACTACCATAACATTTTATGGTTGCCAGGCCACATGTCATCGGTTAAAATATAAAGTTGTACCAAACAAAGGTATTCAAGTTTAGAAAAGAGAACCTTCAAAGTTGGTGTGGGGGAGGATGGAATTTTCTGTCCCGCAGATTTTATTTTTGTGTAATGCATTGTACGCTTGCTTGCCATGACAAGCGACGCGAGGCAAGCATCATTGGTGTCATTCTTTATTTTTGTTAGACAGATTGTGTACGATTACTACACTATGTCAGTTTTGACATTGAATTCATGTTGTTCCATTCTAATGAATCAAAATTTAACGTCCCTAATTCAGAACCTTCATGTCAGTAATTTGCTGCAACAATTCTAACAGTGCCTCATACCTCCAAATTTCTGTTATTGTGTGTATGATCTGAAACATCGGTTTTTACGAATAATACAAGACTAAATTTAGGAGATTTCTAACTGATTTAGAACGAATTATGAGTGGTAGTAAGGCAGTTGAATGAGGGATTCAAAAATCGGAATCAGATAGTAATAATGTAGGAAAAACAAGAGATAAGTGGTTTATCATTATCTTAAAAATGCATATAAATGGCATTTTTTTTTCAAAAAATTATCTGATACATAAGTACATACATGGTAATTACTTTTGTAATATCTTCCTATTGAAATAGAATTAAAAAGTTATCAAATTGCTTTACAATATATTTTAAAAAATTAAAATAGCATAAAATAGTTTTTTTTTTCCCCGGGAGGGAGGGGGGGGGGGGGGGCGCAATTGCTACTCTATTCACTACATTAGCAATTATCGTTTCTCCAAGTAATAATCTTTCATTTTTTAAGCCAATTTGCTATGTCAGCTGAGACTGAGTGACTGTTGAACTCCAAGCAATAATCTTCCAAAACCAAAGAATATATATATATAATATCCTCATGTATACAATAATTTTATTCCATTTAAAAAACCTTTCTCCTCCTACCAACATTCAAGTATCCGATCCAATTCATCTTTCAGTCTTTCTCGAAAAACCTTAAGACAAGTCAAATCACTTATTTATCTTTTCAAACAGAAATTAAATTGATTTATCTTGAAATAACTCGAGCGATTTATTCATTTTTTCAAACATAAATTAAATCAATCTTAAAATAACTCGAATCACTTTAAATGTTAACAAATTTGACATCATCCATTTGACAACAGTAAGTTAACAAGTCGCCAAGGGAAATACTACTAATACTAAATAATAAAGGCTAATTTATCATTATTGTTACAGTTTAAAAAAAAATTAGTTGAAAAAATACATTTAAAACATATGGTAAAAAAAATATGATTAAAATTTTTAAATGTTTAATATTGCTGTGAAAAAATATGAATAATTAAAATATCTTTAAAATAATAAAATATTAAAAATATAAGATAAGACACTATTTTTTACCTCAGTATTTCCATTAAAAACACATTGAATAACTTTCTAATTTGAGTTTCAAACCCTCTTAAGTAGCTTTTTCATTTTTGATTTGGCAGCAAAACCAAGCTTTTAAATCGGAAAAGTCTTTCTTATTATTATTACTTTTTTTAGCATTGAAATTAAGTTAAAAGCAATTTTTAAACACAAAAATGACCTTTAAGAGCAATGTTAAAAGCTCCTTTTATCAACAAGGCTAAACTAGGCCTCCGTGTATCAATCCAATCAAATTGTGGCGAAGCGTAACCGCCAATGACAACAATTTTTAACTTATGATTTTTAAAAAAAGCACAATTTAGCAAGACTGAAAAAGTGTGAAATGTTCACATTAAAAATGTGTATCACATGTTGGATGGTAGCCCTAAAGGAACCAAATTTAAGGCAAACAAAATCACGTTTGGTGAGAGTACTGCATCTAAGCAGCTCCAGCACCCTTGCCCTTCTTCCTCTGGATTTTCTTCATGTAGAACTCTAGCTCTTTACCTTCCAATATGTATCTGATAATTAATATACAAATTGAATAAGATAATATGAATAGAAGTGCATTAAAATGATAGAAATTACAAAGTGCTTAAGATTCGCCCAACTTACCCATCAGCTCTTCCACATTGACCTGGCCGGGAAGAAATGCATGCCAACAACCTACCAGCACCAAATTGTTCTTCAATGTGAGCATCAAGTTTACGATCTTTCTGGCGCTTCTCAAGCTTCCTTAGCACATGGTTGCTCTTCTTAGTTTCCTCAGCAGCACCTTCCCCTTCCTGTCAGTTTTATGATGCAGAAACAACAATGATCCACCCAAACACAAGAATTGCTTTGACTAAAGGAGCCTAGTAGCACAAGCATGTACATTAAGAAGATGGAACACCAATTCATACCCAATTAAAACACCAGCATCATTTCTGTATCAGTTTTTCAAAAGGTATCATTAGAGAAGAGAATGATTTCATAGGACTATTAAATGCAAAGATAATCCTTTTGCCGATTACATATACTCAGCAAAAGCCAAGCTAAGAGAAAAACAAACTTACTTCTCTGCTAAAGTATGAAAAAAACAATATCATGCAGGGTATTATCAAGTTGAAAAGTGAACTGCAGCCAAACAATTTCAGAAAGGAAAAGAAAACATTTATAAATCTTCTACCTCAGTAGCTTCCTTCTTTGTTGCTGTCTTCCTCTTCCTCCCAATGTCAACACCATAATGCTGAAGGTACCATTGCTTAAAGGGAGCAGCATCCACTTGAACAATGGCGCTCTTTACAAGAGTCTGTGTTCTGACAAGCTCATTGTTTGAGGCATTATATACCACATCAAGAATACGGGTCTTACGGGTGACAGCTTCACTACCCCACGAATAGTTGCCAGTATCCAATCTCAATGCTCTCCACTTCACATTGCCTCCTCTAACACGGATTCTCCTTACAGTCTTGTTGCTTGAGAGCTTAGTATTTGCCGGCTGACGACCAAGTTCATACCTTTCAAAAGCAGCCAAAAAATGAGATTAACAACTTAAATAAAAGCAAACCAACAAACTAGAAATTGAACAGGTCTATTCCCAAAAGAATTCATCCCCAAAACACTTCCAAAGAACCTAAAACAACATACATGTCGTTCTCAGATCATCTAGGCAAAAGATTTCAAACATAAAACCTTCCAATGATGACCATAGAGCACATCAATCTCCCACATAAAAGTATATCTGTATTGGATTAAGAGTCCAATGTCCTGTCTGGTGGGCTTCACATCGGCATAGCATAAATAAATAAATAAATAAATATGCCACTTAATACCCAAAAGGGAAATGTCTTAGGTTCAAATCACACGCAGCGAAAAGAATCACATTCGCTAAGCAAGACTTGCACCTAAGGCCTACCCCAATGGGCAACCAATCATGCCTTCTCTGTCATTTAGAAACGAATCTAACAATTAGCCTCTACAACCCTTATACGATGCTCATTATACATGCTAGAAACGAATTGAACCTAAAACTTCCATTTATTGTTTCTTTTCGGCATACGAGAATCCCACTCGATGTATAATATCCATGACGAACAATTTTTGAATAGTCCGATTCCCCTAAAATAAAACAAATCTAAATTGTTTAGCCTTAGTATCGATAAGAACTAATAAATATTTTATCTATCTTATCCCATTCGAACAAAGTTTGAGAAAGGGGAATTCCAGCCATAATTCATAGCAGATTTACTTGAAAAAAAAAAAGCAAGAAATCGAGGGAAAAAAAGTAAATGTAAAAAAATAAACGGAGGGAAAAGAGAAGATGGGAAATTACTTTCGCTTCTTCCTCCAAGCCTTCTTCTTGCCTCCAGTGGCACGCCTTTTGTGCATGGAATCCCGGGAAATACCTGAGGCAAAGATAGAGAAAAACACATATTTGAGAAATAAGAGTAAGCGCAGAAAAGAGCAAAAGCGAGGTACCAGTTTTGAGTGTTTGGAAAGTGAGAAAATGGAGGAGAGGCAAAGATCTAAGAGAGAAGGTAGCCTACCCATGTTGGCGACTCAGCTGCTCTCTTTCGTTTAACGCTTACAGCACAGCGTCTGCTAAAACACTAACTCTGTCCTATTTATTTATAGGCTACCTTTTAAGTAACTTAGAACCCTAACCAAACGACCCCAATTTTTTGGTCTGTACGGTTATTATTTTGAGCTTGGAGTCGGATTAAATTACATTTTATAAGAAAAATAATTTTTTTAATATTTTTTTATTCATGAGATTTAAAATTAAAATTTATTTAAAAAAATTTTGACTTGTTGTCACTCGAATTAACGGATATTAATAAACAACCTCAATTATTCATAATTTAAAATTTAACAAAACAAAAAAATTTATTTTATGTTTTAAACAATAAGAATATATCAATTGTAATATATAATTTATTTTAATACGAATTATAATATATAATTTTTATATAAAATATGATTAAAATATATATTTTAATATTTTAAATAATAAAAATACATGAATCATCATATCCATCAAATTATGATATATTTATTTTTTTAATTTAAGAGTTAATATTTAATATATTATCAATATAAATTTTTTATTTCACAAAAGATTTAAGATATTAAGATATGTTTTATTTTTATTTTAAATTATTTTTATATTTTAGATATATTTTAAATATAATATGTTATTTTTTATCTTACTTATATAATTTGACAACTCTAGTATAATGTATAAAATAATTTTTTTCTTAAGTATATAATTTTTATTAATAATAATAATAATAAATATTTTTTTAAGATTCAATTTTTATGAGAAAGACTAAATAACAAAATTATGAATGTACCCTGTTATAAAATTATTTAATGCCTCTTCTGTCCCCAAGTTGTGGGCCCCTACATTTTTTTAGTTTGATTTTTTAATGGTTCTTTTTTGGTTGATTGGAATGTTTTTTTATAAGATTGACAAAATCTTTGAATGGTTGCTTGATTAAATGTTCTACCAAGTGCCATTATTATGGTATAATATGTTGATAAATACATTAACTACAAAAGATGTATAATAAATATATATTTTTTACATTTGATTTTATAATGTTGGTATACTTTGATATAGAGATAATTGTTTGATTTTTATCCTAAAAAATTTACAAGTTTAATTTTTATATCTATGGCTTCTATTTAAATATGTGTAACTTATAAAGGAAGTATTATGATAGATTTCATTTACTGTTAGAGAGGGTATTTCAGTTTGATAGATTTCATTTATACTTAAAAAGTAATAATAGAAGTCAATGGTTAAAGTATGGGATGAGGGTATTTTTTATTCTCATCTCTAATTTTTTATTTTGTATTTATTTTTGTAATCATATCTAATAGATATTTTAAATTTATTTTTATTTTAATTTTATAAATATTTAATGAATACGAATAATCTCATAATTTATAATTTTTTTTAAAATAAAAAATAAAATTTATTTTTTAAAATTTATGATAAGATATAAGATCGAATGTTATATTATTTATTCAGCGTATCCATACTAGATAACAAAGTTACAACCCTACCCATCTTTTTTTTTATCTCTAAAATTTAATACTTATTCTCATCCCATTAAAATAAAAAATGAATCTCTCCATCAAATTTGAATAAAATTCACGTCTCTGAATAATAACTGAAAAATAATAATCATTTGAAAGATAAAAAAGTTTATATTCTTGGTACCAAACTGAACATTAAAATTCTATAGGCCAGCCACCAAGTGAACCAAACCAAACATGCATTATATATTACTGTTAATCTACCGGGTAACCATGTAAAAGAGAGTTTATGAAAAAGGAATCCAAGACACCCCAAACTAAACTATTTTACAAGTAATGTAAAATTCACCACTAAGAATGAAGCTTCTGAAATTTTTTATTACTTCCTACGGTGTAGTCTCAAGCATCTTTTCATATGACTGGTAATCTTCCATTTCCGCATATACCTCTAGATTTGTTCCCAATTACTGCCAATGCCTACGTGTATTCCAAAAACATACTTAAAGAGTAATGCATCCCAGGTTCCTAACCCCACTTAATTCTTTAACTATCTTGTTTAGCAGAAAATGAACACCCCAGTGCTCTTATCAGGTAAGTTTTCAATCTTTGGGCATACCCTTATATTGAAAACAATTCACCAATAAACGGAGTTCTTTTAGTGTAAACAATCCTCAGACAAAGAACAATTCATTACAACTCAAGTTGTGTGTGTCAAAGATAGGTTGTCCTACAAATAAAACAAAAATAGTTAAAGCCATAAAAACTAGGCATCAACTCTCTTTTGGCGTCTCATTCGTTAAGGTCTCCGGGCTCCGCCTAATCTCCATCTATGCCTTGCTATCTATGCTCATTGGCTCAGGTTCCTTGGCTGCTGATTCCTGCCAAATCAAACGTAAATAATATCAATCACTTCATTAGGCAATAACAATCAAAACCAATAAAAGATGCCGTAGAAACAGCCCAACTAGTTCTCAATTCTACGGCAATTGAACACTTACAGTGGAATCAACAGACTCCATTTTTTTCATCTTGGCAAACATGTTGCCGTAGAATTTTGCTTCCTTCTTATTATACTCCTTAATCTTCTCTTTCAAAACTTTGTATTCGAGCTTAACCTCCCTGGTGTCAAACAACAATAAACACATCATTACAGAATACATTTAAAAATAGCAGACAGGCAAAAACAATTTTTTTTCTTAACAGTTGACATAAAGAGTTAGAGCTCTAGAAGGGCGCATAGGGCTATTAAGGCATATTACCTATTATCAGGATCAAGCTCAAGAGCTTTCTTGATATCAAACTCCGCCAAATCCAAATCTGCCAGATGGATGTATGCTTGAGCCCTTCTATACAGGGCTTTCACATTCGCACTTTCTAATTCTAAAACCTGCATGCGCATAACATGCATAAATTAACATTGCTACACGATCTAGCTAAAAATTATGATTGCAGTTATGAAGATTTTTCCAACCTTGGTGCACAACTTCTCAGCCTGCTTGTAATCCTTCAGTTTCAATTGGCAAGCAGCATTGTTCAGATTGCAAGCAACCTTCAATGCCTTAGCCTGCTTTTTCTCCTCTTCACCAAGGGAAGAATCATACTCAATATATTTAACAGCCTGCATATACAAACACCTATAAATCGCAAGGTATTGGAAAGCAGAAACTGAAACTTTCACAAGCCAAGATATGCATAGCATTGTATACCTTCTCATATCTCTTACAAGCTCTCACATATTTGCCAGCCTTGAACAATACATTTCCTTCTTCCTTCTTTATACCAGCAGCTTCAATTTTTTCTTGGGTGTTCATATCCCATGATTCTTTTTCCTGAAAAAGCAAATTATTAAAACCACTTGTAACATATTCCCAGATATATTTTTTAAAGATACAAGCACACTAGTCCACTAACCTTAACAAATGATACCAACTCAACTTCATAGTATACAGTTGAGTTGGGGGGTACCAGAGCCAACTCCTGCTGCGACTCAGATGACCCAAAAGCATACTCAGGTGCAATAGTCAGCTGTGCTGCTTCACCCTTTTTCATCATCATCACAGCTCTATCGAGACCACCAATGACTTGATCTGTCACAAAAATTCAAGTAGTGGCAGTTCAGCTAAAATCATGAAACTAGACTCAAGAAAGTAGTGGAAGGAATAGAGGCTTCAGATACCTTCATCTGTCTTGAACTCAAACAACTTTTCTCCTTCATTGTGACCCTTCTTCAAGAAGATGGTACCATCTTCCAGTTTCCCAATCAATTTCACTGCCAAAAGGTATATAAAAAATACATTAAATAACTAACTTTTTAGTATGTTGTATTGGGGAAAACTGATTTCTTTTTCTCATAATTAGACACTAACCTTGGACAACAGCTCCCTCACTTGGGCGCTCATATCCCTCTCCTTCCTTCAAGATCTTCTTTGTAACTTTCTTGTCATCAGTGACCTCAGTCACAGCTTTCCTTGAAACCAATTCCAAGGTAATCTGGAGTGTGGCATTTGGAGGCACTGCACCTTCAACACCAGTGGCTGGCTTTCCCTTCTCACCAAAGCCATCTTTGTCGTAATAAAATAGGGTTAAGCATCAGAAATGAGAACCAAGCATATTTACCTTCATGCTAAGAGAATAAAGAGAAAATTACTTACATTGTGGCTTCACTGTAAGAAGCACCTTCTCCCCCTTCTTCATTGTCTTAACAGCTCTTGCCAATGCAGGACAAAAATGACCTGTTAAAAGAGGAAAAAGCAATCACTTGTATTTAAGAATTACAGTTGACATATTAAGAAGGAAATAAGATGAAGGAAAAGGGCATTGACAGTACAAACCATCCCTAACAGTAAACTCCACACCATCAGCTTTTGCCACCACAGTGCCATCCTCAAGCTTAGCTTCATAGTTAACTGCATCCGAGATACAAAACCCATTATTAAAACCTAGCTCATTCAAACAATCACTCCCATTGATATATTATTATTATTAAAAGAAGGAACAGATTAAAATATGTACCTAGCACCTCATCGAGGTCCTTTGGATTCTCCGATTCCTCTCCTTCAATAAGTATCTTCTTAAATACCCCACCATCTTTGCAAATGTCCTTGATACTTGTCCAAGATAGCAATTCAACGTCGAACTGGAGAGTTGCATTAGGAGGAATGGTTGGTGGTGAGCCAGACTCACCATATGCCAGCTCGGGAGGAATGGTGAAAATAGCGTTTTCACCTTTCTTCATTGTCTTAATACCTTCGTCCCATCCTTTAATAACTTGTCCTGCAAACATAAACAGAATGCAGAAATATAATATTAAAGAAAACTGCCTCTTCACCAGAGTTTCTTGCTTCTACAAGAGGACCCCTAAAAGTCCAACGCTAAGAAGAAACTTAACAACAAAGGACTCAAATGTTACATCCTCCTCATGGTTTAGGGATCCTAACTATCCATCATATCTTGAACTTCACAAAGGTTTTGCGCCCCAATCAACCATAATATATTAGCATAATATCATCAAAAGACAAAAACTCATTGAATAGACCAAATTAATTATCATAAAAAGCAATGAGCAGATATTAATAATATCTACTCGAAAATACACAAAGATTCAAAGAAATGCCTTTATTACATTCCAAATATAGCAAGCTCCAAACGTGCATTCATAGT